ATTCTGGCCATTTCAATAGCTACTTTAAAAAAATGATGTAAATAGCTTTCCAAGACAACTTAACAAACTTATTCCTCTGAAATCATTTGGGTCAGTCTTAATACCTTTCTTATGAACTGGAGAAGTAACCGCTACATATGGCTATGTAGATGGCATACTGTCCATGGATAACTCGAAGCAGCCTTTGTTTATTACTTTCTTTCAACATTTTCTCAGCCGTGTAATATACTTCAGTATATGGCACACATATAGGTTGATACTATAAAACCATGTCTTCATTAAGACGAGGCATTGTTCAAACTTATATGGGTATTATCACAAATAAAAGGCTAAAGAGATCTGAATATCCCTACAGTTTATTATTGGATAATGAAGATAACATTCCTTCACTATCACTAAAGGACATTCCATCACCATTTGACGAAATAGATTAGATAACATCGCCATCTTTTTGTATACTATGGTGGAACATACAACTAAAACACAGGATTCGATAAAACACAGGATTCGATAAACCTCAAAATAAAGATAGATAGAGACAGTTAGGTAACCATTTATTGGTATGTGAAATATGACCCTCACTTAGGTGTTTGTTGATTTAGTTTTGCATTTGTCTTAAAGACGACATTCACTCACAGGAGATTTGTGTACAACACAGCCTTGAATGTTACAAATAATAAGATAATGACCTCATGTTCCTGAAGTATCCATTAAGTTTATACTACCATTGAAATAGTATGACGATTGACACGAACTGGTAAGACCATTATGATTATGTTGTGCACCGTTTGGATTTGGTAAAGTTTTCAAAATAGTTACGTATTGATAATTTTAGCAATAACAAATGCCATGCATGCTCAGGTATAATTATGTTTTTTATTTAATACATGTTTTTAGTTTAAACGAAATACCAGTAGTCAATGTTTCTATAACTATTCGTACACATATATATCGTATAACAAGATCTGTTTACTTGTTTACTTCCCAAATCATGCCCAGTATACATGTCTAGGCGTACATATATGTAACATAAGACAAAGTGTAAGGTACATTATCACACAAATGTTGGAGGGCATTGTGTCTCTGTATGGTTTTTTTTCTCACCTGCCATACAAAATATCTGATATTTCCCTTTCAACGATCAATAAATACATTTCACCACTTAGCACTGATTTTGCTTAGGGCCAAAAACAAAGAATTTAGATCGTCATCGAAAATAAATTACCAAAAATGTCTTATTCTGTTTCTGGGTCTTGCGGCGTAAGCAAGTGTATTGGTCTTTAGATTTACATTAAAGGCGTATTTTTGACTATGGTAAAATAACGTTCTTGACAAACTAATGAAATAGTCCACGAAAATATATTTAAACCTCAACAATGAGTTGAAATGTACACTGCGCTTTGACTACGACACCCCACCTGGGACGTGACTATCCACACACCGAACGTGACAATGGCCAAGTTACTCTACAGTTGTACTGTAACAAGTCCTCAATGAGTCGACTAAAATATATCTTATACAAAACATTCTTATGCATAATTTGAAATAGTATGATTAAATCTCCATATGATATGATTTTTCATGAAATGGCTTAAGCTATAGATCATAACATGTGTAAAGATATTTGTGATAATCAAATTTTGATTTTAAATCTTATTAAAGCTAACAAGGCGCTAAACTGCGTGATACAGCATTCATATAATTTAAAGGCTTTCTCAAGTTTATCAAATGTATCGTTATCTTTAAGCCTTAGGATTTTTCAGTAACAATACATATGCAGGTTCACAGTGACACTGTGAACTTGTGTGTAAGGTATCTCGATCCTGGTCACGTGCGAACAAAGAAAGAATAATCAAGTGTACCTGTCCATCAAATACGAAGTTACAAGAAAAGTGTGAATCCATCGCGTCACGTGACATGTTCAGTAGAAATACGCTTTCTCACGTTTTTAATGTTTTTCCACGGATACGGTGAACATTTGTGAAGATATATTGAATTAAGGATAGTCACTAAGGAAACCAACGTCGGGTACGTGTACATGTCTGTAGTGGTTCTACTTTAAGTTGAGGACAGTGCGATGTACCGTAGCAGATGGGTAACTAGTCATACCCAACTACTGGAAGTGACAAACACACTTTTATTTGGGTGTCTATAGCGTTTGGTTACGTTTCAAATCACCTATACTAAGCAAAACTCGTTTTCTATTTAATCAATCTTTAAATGGAAGAGTTCATCTTTAAAATGGACTCTTTAGCTAATTTGCTTTTTATAGTACAGTTAATTTATCTTATTCACATCGTGTACTAGCAACTAAAAGGAAGAGAATAATCACTAGAAAGGCGTAGAAATGAGGCATGTGATTAAAATTGTGATCGCTAATTGAGGAAGCCAAACAAAGCAAGCATTGTAACAGCATTACAGAATGGTACAAAAATTCAATGGATTAAACTAATATATAGGTAGAAAACCAGGAACAAGGGAAGGCGCCTGTTCACCCTTATAATTATTTGTATCATTCAAGGCTGTTTGTGTACTCAAATCTCCTGTGCGTGAATGTCATTTTAAGACAAGTGTAAAAATAAATCAACAAACAGCTTACTAAGGGTCATATTACTACATGGTTAACTAACATTACAAATAACAACCTTTGGTTAATCCAGATAATATATACCTATAACTATCATGCCATGTAAAACCTGCCAGAATATATTCTATTTACCAGACTTCTACCTTATTAGATGGTATCAGGTGTATATTGCAGTGGAAATTTGAAGTCTCAATGAATTTCAAATTGGACTTTGAATAAAAGTCCAAAGTCAACCTTGATATTCAATTGGACATTCGTGAATGTGCAATATTCCAACTAACTTCTGGTTCATGGTTTCGAGATTTATTCGTATGGAATGAAGTGGTAAAGTTTGAAGAATAAATGAATAAATGTTTTATTTCAGGAAATTATAAACAAAACGACATGTATAATAAAAATATTACAAAACCTATTGTGAGTTATCAAAAGTGCCATAAATCTTATTAACATTTCCATTGGATAAAACAATTTACAATAGAGGGTGAGGGATTTGTTGTTGTAAATAACCGTTGTTTTCTTGGTCTGCTTTGTCTGAGTTCATCTTATAAGTCCAATAATTCACATGGCGTTGTGAACCTCATCAATTTAGAATTAGATGGTTAACGTCTTACAATCAGCATTGATAGTTTGTAAAGGTGAGAAAACGATGATGTTTCCAAGATTTAATACACGATTTGAAGTGACTACTTTCCTGTTGCGCAATTGCCTCAATATATATAGCCGATGCACGAGATACTGTTATGTCGTAGGTCGTAAAGTCCAGCAATGATTTATAAAAGTTAATTGTGGTTTTTTTTATCATCAATCGATTGTCTTTAGTCTTTTTTCTTAATTCGTTTCCTTTTTTCTCTTTTTGTTTCTGTTTTGTCCCTGAGAGTTGTCACTGTGTTACTATTTACTTTTACTTTAAACCAAACATTTGAATGTTAGGAAGTACAGTTAATGTATCTTTTGACCACTGCATTCCATAATTGTAAGAAATATTGCAGATTTATTTCAAGGATGGAAAGATATAAGTTTATTAAAGCTTTCATCAGTATGTACATTTCTTATGCATATGCATGTATACGTTGAACTGCTGTAATAGAGTAATGATCAGCACTTGTTTTGCAAGGTTTAGGACTGTTATCGGTTCCAAAGATGCGTATGTATGCACCTACGGAAATATAACAGGTGCCTATCATACAAGTTCAAAACTTTTATGGAATGAATACTTTCCCATCTACACGAAACGAAATAATGTCAAGAATTGAAACATTATATATCAGAGGTAGGCAAACTTTTATTAACTCTGACTTTGACGCCATTTTGCAAATGATTGCAAATGATTGTTGCATTATGGGACCCTGTATCTATGTAACGTTTTGGTCGGTCCCGTTGATCTGTATCTATTCAAGGTCAGCTAATGGGAAATAAGCGATGTTTTTTTTGTGAGGGCAAGGTCATCCGCAGGAATTTGAATATTGTGCGTGTCTATGGGTGACAGGACCTTTCTCAAATCGTGGGAGTTTTTTTTTATACCATTGTCTTTGTACGGAAGTAAAGGTGTGTTCGCGTCATTTAGTGTTTTATTTACATGTGGGACTTTTTTATGATGTCAGACATCTACTCTATGTGCTACAATCTGTCAAGAGTTACACTATGGGATACACACCGCAATGTGATCAATTATTTGCGAGAGAACGTGAGTGTGATTTAGGGAGTATGATTTGTTTCTTACCTTATATAAACAAGTGAGTTTGCAACCATTTCTCTCTGTGATCATTTTCCAAAGTACTCACCAGACGCTCGTCAAACGTTACAAAGTACAAACCAGACGCTCGTCAAACGTTACAAAGTACAAACCAGACGCACGTCAAACGTTACAAAGTACACACCAGACGCTCGTCAAACGTTACAAAGTACATACCAGACGCTCGTCAAACGTTTCAAAGTACAAACCAGACGCTCGTCGAACGTTACAAAGTACACACACCAGACGCTCGTCAAACGTTACAAAGTACACACCAGACGCTCGTCAAACGTTACACAGTACACACCAGACGCTCGTCAAACGTTACAAAGTAAACACCAGACCCTCGTCAAACGTTACAAAGTACACACCAGACGCTCGTCAAACGTTACAAAGTACACACCAGACGCCAAACGTTACAAAGTACACACCAGACGCTCGTCAAACGTTACAGATACGTGTAGTATACCTATATCTGTTGTTATAAGTATTTTCAGTTATCTGTATTGTCCACATTATTACAAATTCTGACGTCGCAAGATAAAGATAACACTCCTTTCCTTATCGTTGTCAACAATGTAGTCTAGAGTAACACAAGCGACCATTGCGGCCTGCTTGATCAGACTGTACCGGTGTTCAGAGAAACATAAATAAGTAACTTTATATTAATTGTTATTCCAGTTACAAATACGGAGTAGTATATCAAAGAAAAATTAAAGAACGCGGAGGACGTTTGGGTGAATATACGAATATACCTTGAACACCTGTAGTATTGACGTGATATTTAAGGTAAGTAAAGTTACGTGTATATTGCTTTGACTGACTATTCCATTACCAATGAAATATTGCATTTGATGTGAGAACATACATGTACAATACAATATTCCAATGACGTAAAAAAAGATACAATGTAATGAGTGCACTCATACACGATACAAAGTTGTAATGACGTAAAACAGATACAATATAAAAAACATACATATACAATACAAAGTTCCAATGACGTAAAAAAACGACACACATACATATACAATACAAAATGCAAATGACGTATAAAAACGATACAAAGTAATGCATACAATATACGGTAAAAACATGGTACAAAAATGTTGAGAATAAAATGAACAATTTTAAAGAAAAATATATAAAAAAAACCATTGTAAACAACACCTTTCAAATAATTCAAACAAAAATTTAATGTCAAACATAAATATGCAAAGTTAACAAATATTTAACGTAAAACAGTAAAAAATACACAATGTTAAATATTGCAATAACCAAATAATGTATAACATAAATAAATACAATTTAAATTTTTGTAAAGATAAATAAAAGACATGATATTTGAAACAAACACACAATGTAAATCATTGTAAATAAACAAACAAGTATAAAATTGCGAACAAGTATTGACAATAAACTGAAAATGCATGCTTATATTGTAAACTTTCCAAATATGCCATGTTGTAGCTATTTTAGAAAGTAGGGGAAATGGAGCCTTTTGTACCACAGAACAAACACAAAACGATCAATTGAAGGGACTGTCTCGTCTTCCATGACTATCGTCAAATATCAACATAGCAATCTTGATACTATGTCTGTTGTTGTCAATGTGACGTCAACATACATTATCTCAAGGTTTGTTTTTTGTCTCAATTCTGTGGTCACTAAAAACACAAAGGGAGCACCTTTAATGATGATGACGTGACGACGAACAATTCCCAAAAAGGGCAGAGTTTTGCTGCATCATTTGTCCGTCTCGTCCATTTAGGACATATCAGTGTAATTAAAGATCAAATTTTTTAAAACCCTTATCTGAATTTTTCAATTTAAAATATCTGCCTAAGAAGTATTTAGGTCTCACCAACATATTGTATTTCTTTCACATCGAGTTTATGATCGACCAGCTTTGTATCAACTATAGGGTAGGTGGGACCCCAGCTCCAAACAGCAGCAACATTCGCACCCAATACAATCTAAGCAATGTGCAAAGTCAATGAACTCGTCAATGAAAACGACCTTATTTAATCTTATTATCCACGATGAAGCATATCCAGTTGATTTTAGAGTGGACCGCTTCAAGTAGTTTCCATAACTTATTGTCCATACAGAAAGTTACGTATAAGTTGATTGTCTCTTCATTCCAAAGTTATATTTACATTGTGTTGGTGTGTTTTTCTCACATACTCCATATTTTTCACGGACGGTTTTCAATAGTTTTTTGTGCGTATTTGTTTTTTGTTTTTACTTTGTCACCTTACCTTTCACAATTTAAGTTTTATTATGTCGTCTCAGATGTGAACCTATCTTCAAATTGGAAACGTCATCTTTGAATAGAGCCGATTTATAATTCTTCAATGGAACTGAATCTTTCTTTAAATTTCAAAAAAATAAAAATGCAATTATTTTGATACAAGAATATGCTGTTGCGGCAATTTATATACTAAAATCTTATATACAGGAGTCAAAGGCGTGCTATTGATACTTTTACTGTTTTATGTTGTCACTGTCTCCCTATTTGTCATAAAACTGTATAAGCATGATCATTTTAACAAATCGTCAACACAAACTGCTGTAAAAGTGGAAAAAGAGGGGGTCGGGAGAGGGGGGTATACTAAATGAAATATTTCCAGTAAATGGTTTGGCTTCTTCTTTTGATCAACAGTTTATAAAGTTAACAAAAACTGTAAATTTATCTTTTGTTTTTTACTTATATTTTTAAAGGATCTTCTACCTTAGAGGTTTCATTTCTAAAGTCTTTCAGGGTCAGGTATTATCAAATACATACTGATCGTTTGTAACTTGTTTTCAAGAAAATGACAGGAGACCACAAGATGAGTGCCACATGTGGTTCAGGAAATTTGCTCTCTTTCTGGAATGCTCGACTAGCACTACCGCTCATAGCTTTATGGGAAAGACATGTATCACTAAATCTTCAGTTTTACATTTAAACAAATTCATTTAAGACAGTCTAGGCTACGGTAAACCCGGTATGTTCACCTTCTTTACTACTAAAGAAGCACTCAAATATATGGTTTACAAGACATAATATTTAAAGAATGAATAACATACTGTAGCCAAATTATGTCCATTTGTAGCTTTATAGAGACGTTTAAGGCACGTTTCACCGTTTCGCTATATTTCTACATATACAGTGAAACCTCACCTAACGACCAACTCTTTCGCCCATTAATGTTTGGACAACTTCAGACTTAAATTATCGAGTTACTTTGGTACCACTGACTGATGAAGGAAATGGACATATGGTGTAGTAAATTGTTCATCTTGTTTAGGGTTCAGCTTCGACAAGTTTAACTCTTAGATGGCTGCTTACTAACTTCATGTTTCCAGTGAAACATCTGTGCGGTAATATGATTGGAGATGTCACGGATTATAGGAAGTCCAGATATTATATATGCGAAGAATATATTGCTAGAGCATGTCATGTATAGACAGTATCAGAATATCAATATGTATCTGCCATGTAGTGTAACTAACATCAGTAAAACATGAAAATAGAAGGGTTTCAACGTTCATCGTTACATATACGAAATGAGAGTTTATCAACAGATAATCAGTAATTTAAATTAATAGAAGACTTTCATGTATTATAAGTTATATATAGATATATAATAACGATGAAATATTTATAAAATATCTATAAAAAAGTACTTTTCGATGTATATTTCAATTAGTAAAAGATATTTTTAAATGAATTATTTTTGTGGGTTTTTTTAATTAAAAAGATATATGCCCTTCATTTCTGAACAAAACATTTTATTTAATGTATGACGCTTCAAATACATATATAAATTAATAGAACTTTTCAATTAGAAATATCTTTCGGGTATTGTAATTGAATTTGTGATGAGTTTCGGTCGCAAGCTGTGACCTATACTTTTTAAACATTGCCTACGTTTGGATGCCATGGTCCATACACAAAACTCTGGTTGTTGATAGTGTTGATGTCGTCAACGAGGAGTTAGAATAAAGAGGTAAGAGTATAGCACATATATATCGACGAGGTCAACATCCAATGACCTTTGGCCTTACTTAAGTAGTTTGGTCTGGTAGTGGCTGTAAAGAGTTCGGAGGCTTTACCTGTACATCTGAATTCAAGTTTGGCAATTGCATTGTTTGCCGTCAAGTCTTATCCATAGAAAACCAATTTCTTGACGGTTCAATCATCTTTTGTTTTACAAGACAGTTACCTAGGAAGTACATGGACCGTGCCTTTGATTGTTTTTGTGGTGACAATTTGCTGCTGCTTGTGGAGACTACATTGATGACGTGTTCAGTCAAATCATTCTGTTATCCTTTCTTTATACAAACCCAATATGTTGTTAGCATGTCGTTTTGCTTACATTCTATGTGGCGAAAGCTCTTGCTTTCCTTGCTCCAATTGTTCCATAGGAGCACACTGGTCACAATGGAAGCTACTGGGAAGTCCACAGCTCTGAGGAAGCGTTACTCACGGACGGAACCTTTGTAGCTGTTATATGTTGTCCCACAAATTTTGACAAAGCCCTAATAAAATCTATTACCTGTAACTGAGCGAGATCGGGTTATCTCAGTCGAGGGTTAAGATTCTGTCATAAAAAATCCCAACCGAGGCGTAAGCCGAGGTTGGGATATGTTACAGAATCTTAGCCCGAGACATCCTCGATATCCAGGAGTTACGCTCACTTTCGCACCCCTGGTTAAAAAATATCCCGGTTGAAAAATACGCTGAAATATATCTATTTATATTGATGAACATTATTTCTATTAAAAGAAATCATTATTTATATTTCATTGTACATGTAACATGTAGTATTGACCCTATGTAACATGTAGTGATGGTCCCCCATGTAACATGTAGTGATGGTCCCCCATGTATCATGTAGTGATGGTCCACCATGTAACATGTAGTGGTGGTCCACCATGTAACATGTAGTGATGGTCCCCCATGTAACATGTAGTGATGTTCCCCCATGTATCATGTAGTGATGGTCCCCCATGTAACATGTAGTGATGGTCCACCATGTAACATGTAGTGATGGTCCACCATGTAACATGTAGTGATGGTCC